TCTGCAGTGACCCTCGGGGCTCCTTTTTTATCATGAGAGGTTAAGAAAGTGCAGAGGGAGTCCTGAGACGTGCAAAGATTTGCTTATTTACCAAATGATGCCTCCGTGACAGTTGGGGTGATTTGTTACCCCCAACTTCTTCTGTGTCTGTGTCTCTGCCAGGACACACCTAACAGCTACGTTACAATTTCAGAGGCTTACCCTCTATCTCTCAGGGGTCATGTTTGGGTCTTAGGTAGGCTCCACTTTTATATTATCTTCCTGGTGATCTACCACAGGTAGTTTAAAGGGATGAATTCCAACATGGTTTCTTTTTGTTGGTTGATTTCCATTTTTTTCTCCTCAGGTAGTGGAGGCAGGTTTGTCCTAGCATAATGCTCACTAGTGGCCCCCATAGTGCGATGGGAAAATTCAGTGTGTGTGCGCGTGTGTGCGTGTGTGTGTGTGTGTGTGTGTGTGTGTGTGTGTGTCTACATATACTCTGGCTGTGTTACTCCTGTCAAAACATTCGATAGTAGATGTAGAAACCCTGAAGACCCCTTCACGCGCCCTTTCCAGTGCTAAGGTGTAGCAGAAATCACTCACAAGCTTCCCGAAGAGTAGTTAAGCTCAAGCCCCCAAGAGGACTGGGCCGTTTTGGTGGACAGCAAAGGAAGGTCAGGGAGTGTGAATTGCCCATCTTCCTGTGCAACACTCCAGGTGTCAGGTCAAGGGAGCATCCATGCCAGAGCCCCTTTGCCTCCCTCCGCATCACTTGATATTCTTTCTCCCTAACTCTCAATCTTATAACTTAGGATAAAACTCATGTGACATAAAGTGTACCACCGTCCCCATTTTTAAGTGTGCCTTGCTGTAGCGTGAAGATCACTGGACTCACTGTGTAGCCAGTCTCCATAACTGTTCTCCTTGCAAAACCAAAGTTGAGACCACTAAATCCTCACTGTCCACACGCTCCTCCCAGCCCCCGACAATGCCTTCCTGCTTCCATCTCTGAAGGACGGCTCTGGAGAGCTCATGGGAGCACACACGGACAGTGTGGTCCTCTGTGCTTGAGTCATTTAGCACCCCTTCACATTCCCTCCATGTTGAAGCGTCGTGTTCTCTGTGATCTCCAGTTCACGCATGGCACCTGGGGAAACAACACACTTTTCTTAGTTTGCTTACTATTGGGCTCATAAAAAGTCCAGACCAGTGAATACAGGATTGGGTATTTAGAACTGCCCGAGCTTTGGGCTTATGCTATATCCCTGTTTCATGATGCTTGAAGCTCGTGGATAGGGCAGACATCTGACAGAGTGCATCATGAGTCCAAGAACTACCTGGGGCCCTACCACCTGTTGACTCCCAGCATCTTGGGACTGGAGAAAAGAGCATGAAGCCCAGGAGTGAGTGAATGCCGTGGGCCTCTGGGGGGCACCTGGTGTGCTGTTTAGGAGAAACTGTGCCTCTCTTGGGTTTTGTTGGTTCAGCACCGGGTTTAGCAGAACAATGTTTTGAGATGCTGGTTCAAAGACAGACTTTCTGGCAGGCAGGACCCTCTTAACCTGTTGGCCTGCGTCTTTTGTTGCCAAGTCGGTACCGAAGGTCACCGTTAGCACATTATTGAAATGAGACATTCTCAGTGCAGGCCTTGTATTGTTTCTGCTAATCAGAGCCCACGGTTCTTCACATATAGTTAGTCAGATTGCTTTTTCTAGCCAGGAACTTTGCCTAGGAGAGAGCCTTAACAAAAGACCTTCCATGGAGAAGGATGGCTAAGAGTTCTGTGTGGGAAGGCAGACAGGGCAAGCTGGAGGATGAACAAGGAAAGGAGGCAGGCACTCTGGAATCCTAGGGTTGCTCTTGTGTTACCACTAGCTCAGAGCCCTGTAACCTCCCAGGACTGCCCACCTCTGGAACGGGAAGGTGATCTCTGTCAGAACCAGGGGAAACTGTTGGGCTCAGTAGTTGACTGCTTTGCTCTTGTAGTGTGGGGACCATGGTGAAACACTGAGAATCGACTTTGTTATGGGGCCTTCCTGGCCATTTTTCATAGAAGTGACATTCACCGGCCACTTACAGTCACAGGACAAGGGTCAGAAGCCTGTTCTTACCATGTGTCTACCACTCCATTCCTCCACTCTTGGGGTGAAAAGGAGGGCAGGAGGTACCACCCCTCCCAAACATCACACTGCTGTTTTCTCTGAATGGTTGCAGTTACTATGTATTTTTAAGTAATTTCATTCGGATGTATTTTTAGCTAACTTTGGGTTCTGTAGGCCAGTCAGCCAGAGATGTCTCCAGCTTTGGGAGTAACAGTCAACTTTGTGCTTGGCTAGCCTGCAGCTGGAGCCAGTGCCAGTAGCCTTCCCACGGCATTTCTTGTCTCTCTAGACGGCATCAGAGGAAAGTCTGGCAGTAAGTTCTCAGAGGTCACAGATAGGAGTCTTTATTAGTTTTTTTTTTTCTTTTTCTCCTTCCCAGGCTTTTGTAGCACCAAACACAGTTCTCAGTAGTCGCTTGATAAATCCGTAAATCCCTAGCAGTCAGATGATATCATTTTGAGGGAAAATCTAAAAGGAGCCTGCGGAATATGGCACCTCAAAGGCTTTGTAGTTAGTGTTGGGGGAATGCCCGGCTCACTTAACCACTAGAAACGAGTGCAAACCATCTTCGTGCACTCACATATACACACACTATGTACACACACATACACACACAAACACACACACACACACCACACACATGAGAACACATACTCTGAGTACTGCAATACGCCATTGCAGGGCTAAACCTCCATCTACCACCTGAGGACAGACCGAGGGACAGCAGAGCCCAGTGACCACAGAATACCAATGAGTGACTTAAGGTGTTAAAGGGGTGCTATAGAAATCCCCCGGTAGATTTCTATCATACGGAGAATTTTCCTGATCTAAAACCACTGGGTTTATCTGACCTCAGCTCCCCACATTTGCTCCATCCTGGGTGTCTACTCGGGTTTTCAGCCAAATCAAGGTCAGGATAAGAAGGAGATTTGGGTGGCAGTAAGCTGGATATTCAGGCTTCTGCAGTAATACTCAATTATTGAATTCTCCAGAAGCAGTGAACTCCTCTATATAATGAAGCAATGAAGCCCTCAGTTTTTAAATATCTTTATGAATCCGCCAGCTCAGTATTACCAGCTGCCAGCTTGCTGTTTCCTGCTTTAATATAAAGATAAGGGGGTAGGGCTCTGGGAACTTGCTAGGGTGGTTAAAGGCCAGCCTAAACATTTTAGCACACCTCATTCTTCCTGGCTGAGCCTTTTAAAGGGCCCCCACATGCCATAGGAAGGAGCCACATGGGAGAAGAGTCAGCTTGCCATCATTGTTCTGCAGCCCCGAGACATCCCCAGTATGGTCTGTTACTGTCCTCTGTGCCTCCTTGTCACCCAGAAGCCTCACTTGCCAGGGCTGAGAATCTGGACAGGGGGCACGTTATACCAATCCTTTTACTATAGTGGATCCAAAGCAAAATAAAACAAAGTCTATGAGCATTCAAGTTCCCAGGACACGTATGCCTCAGATCTGCAGGTCTGGCTCAGACCTCTACAATAGAGCAGGTGCTATGCTAAAGTAAGCAGGAAGGCTGTTCAAACCTATAACTCATTAAAGGAAAAAAAAGAAGACACCCTGGCACATAGCAAGGCACGTGAAAGTGGGGTGCAGAAAAGAAGAGGTGCCCGTGCTAGCAAGCACATTTGACATCATCATGGTGTTTAATAGCATTTTTATGCAGTAGCGTTTTTCTCTTTTCTAACTCCTCCTCAATCTTGTACTATGTCCCTATAGCTGTGACAGTGTTTGTACCTCTGGTAATGAAATTCCGGCAGGCAGGATGTACTAGCATTCCCCCTTCCTTGTTAACAGCATTGCCATCCTTCACAACCAGACTGCAGCTGACTACTAAAGAGTTCTTGTGTTGATTCAGGGGCGTGCGTGCGTGCGTGCGTGTGTGTGCGTGTGTGTGTGTGTGTGTGTGTGTGTGTGTGTGTGTGTGTGTGTGTCTGTCTGTCTGTCTGTCTGTCCGATGGACTTACAAATATATCTCTTTGACCAATTTCAATTTGTTAAATGTTGAAGCTGATTGATGCTGCATCAACCAACGTCATTTGCCATATACTATTTTGGTGAGAGTAATTTAAATTGCCTCTCGGGCTGGATGTGCTAATGTGAACCGACGGCTTTCGAACATTAATCTTAAGCGAGTCCTTGATTGAGGATAACCCCCTTTCCACTTGAAGGGTTTTTTACTAAGATTGGGCAGCTATAAAGTTTTCCACCGACTCTCTTAAGACAGTGAAAATGCTCATCTAGAAATGCAGAGAGTGCCTCAGTGATAGATCGATCTTGCTTGTGTTCTTGCCTCTGCTGTGACTAGAGTGTGGGTGGCAATCCATCCGCAGGGTGTTTTATGGGGTACTGAGTGGCACAATTTAAGCCAAGAAATTGAAAACAAGATGCAAAACAAGAGACAAGGGAGGACCGGAGCAGGGCAAGGTTACATCTGTGTGAAGAGGATTTGTAAGAGAGAGGGCAAGAAAGGCCAGCTTCTGTATAGAGCAGACAAATTGTGATGTGTAACCAGCAAGTGCCAGCAGCCCTGGTCAGACTCAAGACGCAGACAAAGACTTGTTTGCCACATGCTTGAGCAGGTGAGCAAGTGTTCTGTGCACAGTGATACCACCTAATCAAATCAGCACACCACGTGCCTTTGCCGATTGCCTGTAGATGATCTCAGTGGCCAGGTGTGACCCTAGCCAAGATGATAACCAGAATGCTCGCACAGATGGTTTTGCCGTGGGGAATAGAAAGCCTGTTTTTAACCTGATTGGTTTTGAAGCACACCTGGGGAAGTGTTTCAAGGCCCCCACAAGTGAAGGTGGAGAAGAGGGTGCCAGGGAAAGGGCTGCTGGGAGGGAGTGGTGACAGAGGGCCCCCCCCCCGCTCTCAAAGTTCACACTCATCTGTGTTCTCTTGCAGCACATCAGGTCCACCCATCTGGCCGGGCAGTACCTTCTTCAAGAGAAACGGAGCCCTTCTGCAAGGTAGGTGTCTAGGAGGGCCTCCTCCTGTTCCCTCATCTTCTTCCCTCCTCCTTTGTGCATGGCCAGCCAGGAGCGCTCCCTTCTGGTTAGCAGTGGCTGCTCTCTGGAGAGGCATGACTGTTGTGCCCTGGGTCTGACTGCCCACGTCTTACTTCTTCCTGCTCAAGTGTCTTGGCTGCTGTGAATTGAGAGTTTGAAACCAGGCCTCTGTCCCTCCCAAGACTGCTGATTTGGTGGAGTGGGGACAGTGTGACAGTTGAACTGTGACAGTAGTGCATACTGGCTGAGAAAAAGCAAGCTCTCAAGTGTGTCTGACACCTGAGGTGATTGAGACTGGTTTGGATGCTTTGACACTTTAGTCATCATGGGGAGACATCTGTTCCCTGCTGTCTCCTAACAGTCCTGTGTACCTGGAAGGTTGGCTGCAGTCTGTACTGATGCTCCAGGAACTCCTCATTTGTCCCCAGAGTCACTGCTGGGGGACTCTGCTAACTGTGTTTCAGTCCACCCTCAGCTGCCCGTGCTAGCTCCTCTCAAGGATCTCAAACTGTCTTTCACTGCTGGTTTTGCTGTTACATTGTACCACAATGCCAGTGGTGAAGATTACGCGGTTAAAGCAGCGGCAATGTGTGCCCAAGTCTTATAGAAGTCACCTCTGCATTCTGGCTGTTGTGGATGTCTGTTCTGTGGGTAACCTGGCCCTCAGTTCAGGGGTTGAGAATGAGAGGGAAGCTCAGACCCTGAAAGTGTGGACTCAGGGTTGTCCAAGAGCTTCATGGCTGTGCAGTTGTGGGTGAGGGCTTTGACGTCTTTTGGCTGACTGTTCAGTGTGTCTTATAAAAGAATACACTGAAGCGAGGCAGGAGAATGAAGGAGTCAGGTACCCCTGTGCTTAAGAAGAGACATCTGTCCTCGGGTTTCTGGAGTACTTCCAGCAATGGTGGCAGATATGGTTCTTGTTTCATGGGCCACGCGGTTTCTTGCTTTTTTAATAGTTTATGAAATATAAATGTGGTACAGGAATGTTTCTGTGGGGTTTTTGGGTTTTTTGTTTGTTTGTTTTTGTGCAGATAAAATAAATCCTACTTTTCATGGCCATCGTGGGTGTCCTACATGTCTTAAGAAAAGAGACGGAATTAGCATGAAGGTAGCAAGCAGTGGTTGGGTCCATGCTTGGGGTTTTCTCAAGGGAAGTTCAGTCACCAGCTTCTCTGCTTGGTTGCACTAGTGGCATGGGTATCCTTCACCTTTGAATTATTTTCAGAATTGGGATTTTGTTTTCTCAGAGCTTTTTCTTACAGGATTCAGTCTGTTCGATTCGACGTTAGGTAAGACACTCTCTGGGGATGAGGTTTTTGGGTTTGTACCTATGACACAACACCATGGAAAGAGCTGATAATGCCTAAAGCTGGGTGAGCGTGGTGGCTCTGTTTCATGGGTGGATGTGTCTTTTTCTTGATTTTGTGATTTTTAAATCTCATGACTCCTCTAGTACACTGGGAATTAACTGTACAGGTTTCAGATATACATGGGATCCATATTCAGTTGAGTATAACCTGTCTGTCTGTCTGTCATCTATAGTGTACACTTGAAAACCGTAAAAATCTTTCTGAGTCTGGGGGTGTAGGCAGGGATTTATTTCTGTGATTTTTTTTCATCATTTTGCCCTACCTGTCTAGAGTCTCTGAGACCCCCTCCACCCTGAAAACATCCTTCCCAGGCTTTAAGTGTTCCCCAAATGATCTTATGTCTTCTTTTAGGGCTTACAGGGCTGTCCAGGAGCTGTGAATGCCCACAGTCAGCTTTCTGCCTAAAGATACAGGGATGCGAAGGAGGGGACTGCCCCTCCACAGCTACAGAAGCTCCTTAGAATCTTATCAGGTCTGAGCTCACTTTCTCAGTGCTGTCCTCCTGTACCCTTGTTTCCCCTCTGACAAGTGGAAGGCAAATCTTCAGACTAGGAAGGAATCCAGGCTTGATGATGATGTGCTGCCAGCATGGTGGTGAGGGTATAGGATGCAGGAACGGGAAGATAGGCAGCAGGGCTATGTTGTGAAGAGGGGGCCTACTTTTTGGTGGGAGTTTAAAGAAGAGGGGCATCACTTTCTAGGGGCACTCAAAACACAAGGAAGTGTGTGTGTGTGTTATGTGTGTATATGTGGTGTATATGTGTGTGGGGGTATGTTTGGGGGTATGTGTGTTTGCGTGTGTATAATTCATAGATGTGGAATTGCCAGAGAGGAAAACCACAAGAGCACATGTCATCCCAGAGGACAAAACAGTGGGGACGTGGTGCTGGAAACGTGGACCATGCCTGGGACACGGCAAGTGTTTCTTGGCTAGATTTAGGCTAGATTTAGGTTATTTCATTTAAAGGTCACTGTGGCTTGAATTGTTTTCATGCGTCTGTATTTCATAATTGAAGGTATTTCTCACCTTGTCCAAATAAGCCACTGAAAGTAGAAAATAGTATATACATAGTCCTTCACCTCCTACACCATGTGCTTAACACCACCAGTCACTATAGAGTGTCGACGCTTTGTCCTTGTTAACATGTGGCTGATGGAGTCTGCACACTGTCGTTACTGCCCAGCATCATAAGAAGGCCCTATACCCCTTGCCTAGGAGGGATCAGTGTTGAAAAGAGAGTTTTTTTCTTGCTCTTTGGAGATAGCCTTTTGTAGCTGAGACTGCCTCAAACTTGCTATGCAATAAAGGATAACCTTCAACCTCTGGTCCTTCTAGGACTACAGGTATGTACCACCATGCCTGGCTCTTCCAGGACAGTTCCTTCTGAAGGCATATGGCTTTCACACCCTCATGAAGTTGGGGGAAAAAAAAAACCCAGGACCAAACCACAAGTAAGGGCGTCCTGTAATGTGATGTTCTAATCACATGGAACCTGAGCTGGTGCTGAGACCAGTGATCTAATACAACAGGGAACCGCCTTGTGTCATCTGGCACCGGCTGGGCTTGTGAGCTGAGTGGAATCTTGGTATTTTCTAGCCTAAATGAAACTAATAGAAAGAATTAACTGCTCAAAGTCTTCCTTGGACCTCAAAGGTGGCACCATCTTTTGGTTCAAAATTACAGGCAGGCTGGGCTGTTGAATGACCTCAGTTTAGGCTACTGGGGGAAGATTCGGTTTGGATTACGTCAGGCAGAGCTACTTCACGTAATTGGTCATTTTGTCAATTCCCAGTGTTTATTCTGAATGCCATTTAGGCTGTGAGAAGCAATCTCAGTATTCTAGCGGTTCCAACAGACTAGAGAGCCCTTCAGTTTCAGTACAATAGAAACCAAGCAGAGCCTCACAAGGGGACAAGCCCGTTGTCTAATAAGGGACCCGGGGCATCTAAACACAGTGCGGCTTATTCAGAGGCTTGCAGGAGTGGCCAGCTGGCAGGTGTCTTCAACAGACCCCATGTCTTTGAGTTTTTGTGTTTGTCTTTGTGTTTCAATGTTTATATATATATATATATGT